ACCCGCAGCGGTCTGCTGCTCGGCCTCTTGCTGCAGCAGCCGTAGGAGAGGAGGTGTCTGGGTGCAGCCTCCCCATTGGGGAGCGATGTCACCATTCCTTGAAAACTGTCCCAGTTAGACCCCAGGAAGGAGAACTCGCTGCTTTGGCTCTGGGAAATGGGCTTGCGCCACTGCTCTAGCGGGATTCTCCCCAGCCGGCCAGGCTCCTCGCCGGGCACGCTCCTTCCAGCATCGCCTTTGCCATTGTCTTCATCCGGGCAGCGGATGCCCGGGGCAGGGCCTGGGATGACCTGACGAGGGGCGCTCGGTGCCAGGGACTCCTGGCTGGGAACATCTTGGCAGGTGGCGTTTCTCCTGAGGCAGCCTCCTCCGTCAGACACCACGTCAGCAGCCTTCAAAGGTTCCTGGGGACCCGTTTCTAACTGCTTTCCAGAACTGCTGGGAACCCTGTCAACATTTTCCTCTCTGGAAGGACTGGGAGCTGGACACGTGCCATCCAGTTCCTCCGTGTATGTTCCATCTCCCTTTTCTGCCCCCAGAGGGGCGCTGCTTGCTGGCACAGAAGCCCAGCCGCTCAGTTGCTTGCTCTGCCCTCCGTGCTCAGCACGGCTGCTCCGAGCGCTCTCCTCTCGCTCCTCCTCCTGCCGCGTCTCTCCTCCCGCCACCACGCCGCCTTCGCCCAGGTGCGGCTCGGCTCCCTCGGCAGCGGCGTGCCGCGCTTCCAGGCCCACCCGCACTTCCTGACAGTGGTTATTCAGGTTGGGATCGCTAGACGTGCGGGTCAGCGGGCTGCTGGAGTCGCAGGCGGAAAAAAACAGGCGGAGAGCAGGTCATCCATAGATCTTGTCTTTGGTAATCTAGAACCCAAAAGCAAAGCAAAGGTCACAACAAAACTCCTGAAACTCCCCTCATTTCAGCCAAAACCGAGGGGAGGGGAGGGCAAGGTTCCCAATTACAGATCGTGGGGAGGGCTGGTGCAGCAGTCGGCCTTTTCAGGTGCAGCGGGGAGCTGTACACACCCCCCTGCACGTGGCTGGGACAGTGCTACAGAGCCCTTGCTCTCCACAGGCAGGATGAGAACAGGAGGTAAAACGGAGGAACTGCAATGAGCAGGGAGGGAAAGGAGGACTGCGGGCAGAAGGCAGGCTGGGACTGGGGATCTAGGCTCCTACCTGTCCAAACACCTGCCGCTGAACTCCTGGCTCTGCGATCCAGGGGGCAGGTAAATGTCCATATCATCCTGTCCCAGAGGATGCGGCGAGGAAGCTGGGAGATAGACCGCGGTCCAGACGTGCAGCGCTCGCACGTGGCACACGGGATGCAGCACCTGCAACAACCGCTTACGGTCAGAGATGGATGCAAAAGGAAACCCCTTCAGTCTCTCCCCACGCAGTCCCCAGCAGGCAGAGAGCCTGGAAAGCTGGGCCAGGAGCTCTACTGACCTGCTCAGACCCTGGCATGTAGAGGAGATTGTGGAAGTTCTTATTGCCAGCCCGCAGGAGGGACCACACGGAGCAGGTCCGCTTGTAGATGTTGTGCATCTCTCGCTCGCAGGGGCTGTTCCCCAGGAAGGTCCCGTAGAGGCAGGAATACGTGTGCTGCACCAGCTTCACCTGCAGCAGCAGAAGGGAAGCGATTGCCAGGCCCATATGGAAACTGTGTCTCCTGCCTACCCGGGAATCGCCTTCCACTCCGCCGGGACAGCACACGCACTCCCCGCCCAGCCAACGGCCCCACCGCTGTCCCACCCGAAGGGGACAGCAACAGGAACCACTTTCAAGTGAAAGCAACAGTCCACTGATACCACACTCACCCCTCCATAACCCTAACCCATGGCTTTTGATAAAACAGATCAACACCTAGCGCTTCCCTAACTTTTTTTTTAAATGTTTCAGACTCATCTTGCTCCACGATACGCAAATCAGCGCTGCTGATGGCATCTGAAGTCACAGCGCTGGGAAGGGACCTGGCGGGGAACCGATCCCAACAAACCCAAGCACAGAACCCCGCCGTCACTGTGTGGTCTGCGAGGTACGCCAGCACCCACCCAGAGCAGAAGGCAGCGGCAGGGAGCTGAGGGGCAGGGGAGGGCCTACACAGCAAAGTCAGGCCAGGAATGCTGGCTGCTGCGGTTAAAGAATCCAGTTTTCAGTTTCCTTTCCACTACAACACTGTCAAATATCACAGCCTTCCCTCTGCTCACACCCGGCAAGGGAGAAAGAGCTGTTTTCACGTGTATCTCTTACCAGAAAAGCTTCATTAAATTCAAAGAGGCAAGGGAATTGCTTCAGAAGCTGATGAACAGCATCCAGCCACTGGAGAAAAACTGGGCACTGCTCGTTCTGGTCTTCCACCTTCTCCTGGTGACCGCAGCGATCACCAAACTTGTGACCAAAATCCAGCCAGTCTGATTCAACAAGCACCTGAAAGCCCTGTGAACAAAAAACCACACCAACTAGCTGCAGACACTTTGCTGTAGGCAAGGGGCAGGACAAGGCCTCATCCAGCAGTGCCAGGCAAACCAGGACTTCTGAAGGGCTGGAAAGGAGGCTGCACCGGTGCTTGGTTTGGGAGCAAAGGTACCTGAATGCCAGTTTCCAAACGTTGTTTCTACACAACCAACAGCCTGGAGAATATGCACAATTAAGAGCAGGGAAGCAGCCCAACCTCGAACACAAGAGGTTATTTACCGCCGTGCTTCACCAAGCCGGGCAGAGCGAGGTACGCTTCACCCACCACAGGCAGGAAGAGACCATGGAAAAACCCAACGCCCACAACAGCAGCTCTGAAACGCCGCTAAGCTTAGTGCCAAACGTGACCCTGCTCCCTTCTCCGGTGGCTCTGAGGGAAAAGCTGCCTTCTGCCAGACATGAACCAGCAGCATAGCACAACTCGTACCTCCATGGTCCTGTAGTAGGGGTCCAGAAGAATTTTCGCCAGCGCTACGATCTGCGGGGTCCTGTCCCAGCCATCTGAGCAGTGGACCAGCACTGGACGCCCTTCTCTGTCAACCGCGCTGGAGACCAGCACTGCCGCCTTCAGCATGACAGAAAGGTGTTGCAGCCACTTGGTACTCTCCAGGGCCGAAAGCCAGCTAGACGGTGGGAAAAAGGCAAGAAAATGGTTGTTTAGGCCTCCAGTAAAAAAAACCCTAAACATATATATACATATTTTAACCCAAGTCTTTTTGAAGTCCTCAATGAAAATCAGTCTTTTCCAAAACGCATTCAAGAGGAGCAGCCAGCCTGGGAGTAAGAGCAAAGATTCCAACCCCTAATATCAATTTTTCCCAGATACAGCTGCATTTTAGAAACCCTCAGAGGAGACACACAACCAGGTGACACCGAGGCAGCGCTGCAATCCCTTCTGGATCAGGAGGGATCAAAATAAGCAGCGTTCAAGCACTGTCAGCGCTTTCCTTTTCTAAGGTTGAAACCTGGGATAGGAAAAAGGATAAGGGAGGAAAAAGATAACTCAGGAAATTAACAGATAGGTGTTAATTGCAAACCCAGCTAGAGAGAAGTCACTTACTTGCTGGGGTCTGGCACCTGACTGCAGACGGCACGCAGGTACTGGAAACTGTTCCGGATGGAGTGGATGTTGGCCATGCCCATGAAGACGACTTCACAGTTTGGGTAATACTCTGAACACAACAGAGACACAGACTTTCAGAGAGCTGCTGCCATTGCCTACGCTTGTTTAGCTGACCCCTCACAGCACCATTTCTGGTCTCCAGGTGGGCGGTTGTTCTACAAACACCTCGTGGGCCAGCAGTGATACATCTGGAATAATGGACTTTGCAGGAGAAGGGGAACGTGCTCCCAGAGACCGAGTACCCAACCCCCCGACTACGCTCTAGGATGTGCTCGACAAAGCAGATCCAAGAGGAAGACGTTCTGGGATGTGCCTATCCCTCTGTACCTTCACATTCGCAGCCGCCTCCCTTCGCTCTGTTGGCCACAGCTGCAGTGTAGGACCTGGCATCAAGAATCAGCAGCTTCTGAGGAGTTCCTGCGTTCTCCACACCCGAGCATGCGGTCAGGGATGAGTCTGCAAAGACAGCATGGGCTGGGTTCCCGGCACCTCGCTCCCTCCTACACCAGGCCCCCAGTGCCGCCCGTCGCTGGCCATGAATGAACCCAGACCCTACCTCACACACCACAGTGAAGGTGTGAGGGGCCCAGATTATCCATCTGGATATCAGGATTAAACCTTGCATTGGGAGCCACGCAGAGGTGCAGGAAGCACTAAAGAATTCACACTTTTAGGAGAGTCTCACCGAAGTCGGCATCGCAGGCCTCACTGCCGTCGCTGCTCCCGTTGTGCAGCACGCCGCCGGACACCTTTACTCCAGGGTTCAAGGCACAGGCTTTGGCAATAGATGTCACAAGATACTCATCGTCAGCATTTCGCCAGCCCCACCAGCTGATTTCCGGCTGGCTGCAGCGTGCAATCACTGCCCCGTTGCGCACGTGCCTGCAAAGGAAGAGAGAGCCTGATGACGCACCCAAAAAGGTGAGGAACAACCCCAGCAAACTCCACCTACAGCCAGCACCCGTGCAACCCTCCTCACTGCTGTATCTGCTGCGTTTACTTTTGAATTCAACCAGTGAAGCAGGGCAGGGCATTTCAAATAACCATGATCTGTAAGAAAAGCAGTGTTACATGGAGGAGGCTGTCACACATCACAGCGGTGAGGAACAGATGGTTGTGAGTAGCACAGGAGTGGCTAAAGGAGCTGGAATGGCTGGCAAACGAGTCTGCAGGTCTTAGAATCACAGAATGGTTTGGGATGGAAGGGACCTTAAAGACCATCTAGTCCCAACCCCCCTGCCATGGGCAGGGACACCTTCCACTAGACCAGGTTGCTCCAAGCCTCATCCAGCCTGGCCTTGGACACTTCCAGGGATGGGGCATCCACAGCTTCTCTGGGCAACCTGGCCCAGTGCCTCACCACCCTCTCCAGGAAGAATTTCTTCCTGATATCCAATCTAAACCTCCCCATTTTCAATTTAAACCCATTACCCCTTGTCCTGTCACTCTCTGCCCTTGTAAAAAGACCCCCCTCAGCTGTAAAAAGAGCCATGGGAACAGCCTGTGCCCGTGGAAGTGTGGCAGCCCGAGCTGCTGTTTATTAACCCCTAAAATGTGAACCCTGCTCTGGCTGTTGCTTATTGAAGGCCCCAAAGTAGGAAGAAACGTTCATTTTTTGCATGAACGCACTCATCGAGTCAGTCACAAACGGGCCAGAAGAGGAATGGACAATGAGGTGACAAAGCTGCTGGCGACACAGAATTGTCCAGAAGGGTCTGTGGCTGTCTGGAAGAAGTTGCAAAGGATCTCATGATACGGGGTGATAAAAACAGAGTATGAAATTTAGTATTAACAAATGAAAAGCATTTACAGGTGATGAAAATGTAACTCCAGCTGTCGACAGGGAGCAGTTGGGTACAAACCAGCTGCCAGATCTCAAGGACTCTGAGGTCACTGTGGAGCTCTCAAAAAGCCTCAGCTCAAGAGAAACAAAAAGGTTAAGAAAGTGCTAGCAGCTCTCTGGAAAAAGCGTAAGACAGAGAAGACGATGGTGCCACATCTTACGCATCTTCCGAATGACACGGATTTCTCACCAATCTGTCTCAAAAAGGGTAATGAAGTCCTCAGACCTCCAGGGAAGGGTGGCAAGGACAGTCAGAGGTAGAAGAGCAGCTTTGCTATAGGGACAGCTAAAGTAGGAAACAATTCCCACCAGGGGAGAAGGACAAGAACGGATGAGAGGCATGAAAGGTCACGAATGACATAACAAGGGAGTTTGGAAGGGTAGTCTTATTTTTCCTCAAAACACAGACGAGTACTGGAACGGTCAGACCCTAAGTTTACGGAAAACAAGCAGCATTTTTTGGAGGGCAGTCACGACAGACCGCGGACTCACCGCCACAGTCCAACGTGGGAGTATAAACCGGTTCTAAACTACATTCAATTTGCGGAAGGTTGGCCTACCACCTGACTGCGAAGCAAAATCGCCTTCTGAACAGCCACTGCAGGGAATCGAAGGTACCAGCTGCTCCCAAGATGCACCAGGAAAGAACAAAGGCGTGCCTGTCCTGTCTGATACACCTCCCTGAGACGCTATCCCTGGTGCCTGCCCCTTCGTGGAGACAGGAAACAAACTGGAGAGCCCCACACCGCGATTCTTCACCACAGTCCTTGCCCCCCATCCCTCACGCAGCACCTCTCTGAAGATGAGCTGGAGCGAGAACACAGGTGTAGATAAAGCTCCTGACCAACGCCATCCGAGTATTTTATTGTCATTACTGGTAGGGTCGACACCCCCGAAACCGCTGTGTTGGTGGCAAAGTAGGGGACATAATGGTCTAGACCCTAAAGCACAGGCCTCAATCCATCCCTCCCGGGCTGCTGAGCTGCCACTGAGGGCTAGCAGAAGCACCCCTGAAGGCATCTCTCTCCTGTCACCCCCCCGTGCAGGGCTCTGCTCGTCCTCAGAGGACGACAGTGCCTGTCCGTGCTGCTGGCTGCAAGGCAGCGCTCCAAGAAAACAGGTCGAGGCCTTGAACGCCTAAGGGCGGTGCAGGCAGGGTACCTCACCAGCGGCTGCTGCAGTCTGCAGGGATGGGTTTGCTTCTCAAAACAAGGTCCCCTTATTCTCCTGAGGCAGCTTATCAATAAATGCAGAAAATGCATTAATAACGATGACATCTCACAGGTAATACTGATGAAAACTTCAAACTGAAGACATGTTCAGCTCAAAATACTGTGAGGATTCTTCTTCCAGTGCCCTCCTCTGTCTTGTTTTGCAAGGTGACCTACAGAGCCGTCACTCCTAGGAGATCTATTCCTGCCTTCCGGATCACTGAAGGATGGCGAATAGAGAGCAGCAAAGGCTCTGTTTACTCTAGTACCTGAAACGGGGCCAAGGCGTGGTTTAAGCAGCAGCCCGTGATCATCCCAGCTGGTTTGTTAGCACAGCCAGAGTTTTCGGCCTGCACCAACCAGCACTTCCCCAGACAGTGCCTGAGCATGCTTTTGGGAAACGCAGGTGCTGTGCCAGGGGCTGGTTCCCAACAGGCTGTTTGGACGCGATGGCACCGCTCTGGGGCGCGGAGAGAGGAGTTTAGCTGTGTAGGCCACCTAACGTCAGTGGCAGCCTGCTTCACGCAACGCTACAAACACTGCCGCAGAGTGGCGTTGACTTAAGTAACCTCAGCACTGCAGCAACGGCTGGGCAGGGGATGGCCTGGAGGGAGCGACTTTCAAGAGACACAACGCCAAGTCCCGCAGCTTAGCTTAAAGCACACGAACGGGCTGAAAGAGGGTTTACAGAGCTGTCACCTCACGGTTCCCAGCTGAGATAGGCCGAGATGCAAGTGCTTTTCTTTCACAAGTCTCCAGGGTTAAGCTCCTGGCTCATTCCAGTGTGATCTGGAAGCTTGGCACCGAGCGCTCGGCCCCGGAGCTGGAGCAGCGTCCGCTGTTCGCCCACAGCTTCCCTGACAGCCACGGCAGCACAAGCACAGGCAAAGGCGATGCTGAGCGCCAGCGAGGAGCTCGCTCGCTCACAGGGTCCCAAGGTCTCCTGAAGGTGGCTGTGCAGACAGAGCGATACGGAGGAGCGGTGGGCACACAGTGCCCGTCTGCCTCTGCAGTCAGCTAAATAATTAATTGCATCCTTGGCGCTGTTTTTAAAGCGAATTGTGCCTGCAGCCTCGCGCATCTCCACTGAGGCCTCGGAGATGGAGACCTGATTTTTTGCTTAACAGCTAAATTATACTTTTTGTAAGAAAACTGGTAATGTGGTACCTTTGGTGTCACGTTTTACAGATCTGACCGTGACCTGATGAATTCAGCCTTGTTCTCCAAAAGCTCTAAGGCCTCCCAGACAGCACGTGGTTATGGGACACACACACCCAAGCCCACTTGTCCACCCTCCTGAACAGCGGATGAGGAGGAGGAACTGAGCGCGAGGCTTTTCTTTTCTTTCCTTCCCCTTCCATTACAGCACAAGGAACTCCAGAAGCAGCCACAGTCTCACAGACCCTCCTGGCCAAAAGACTTCAGGGCAAAGGCTAAAGGGTACACAGAAATGAGATACAGCTATGGGCAAGCACTTGTCCCACCTTGTAACGTCCCTTGTCAGCATCCTCCAGCCTGATCCCAGGCTGCAAAGGGTTGCAGCTCAGCTTGCAAATTACTGGGTACCATCTACAGCAATGGTACAAAGTGAGGAACAAAATGATTGTCAGAGTAGCAAAAGACCCAGCTTTGCCCTCGGGTGGGAAGGCACACTGGGACAGTCTCCAGCGCCAGGCCATTTTTAGCAAAAGTAATCACAAATGCAATTAACTTCTTAGCTGACTTGGCTACAAAGAGGGAAAGGCTCCATCCGATCAGCAGCGCTTGTTATTAATCTGCTGCAGGACTTGGTTCTTCTAGAAGCAATACACTGTGTTTTGCCAGGATCTCATAGCAAACCACGTAACACGAAGATGTAGTTACGGTACGCGTAGAATTCACTGGGTGCGTTTCCTGGTTTTCATTCTTCCCAGTGCTGTCCTTTGCTGTGGCAGCTCTGGTATTCTCAAAGCTTTTTATATTTGGATTTAGTAATTGCTAACACAGGATCTAAGGCTGGAAACCGTAATGGAGGTTACGGTACGTGCACTGCCTGGGTGCACCTAGTCGGCCAGTCTCCTGTTGGGTCAGCCAGCCTGCTAGCAGGGACTTTTGATGGGAGACCACCCCCCTACCTGAAAAGCCCCGCTCTATTTACCGTCCAGGCTCCCGCATCCCCCCTGTAGGGATTATTTTTGGAAGGCTGACCGGGGAATAAGCACTCTGTGTATTACCTGCTACTGAATCTGTAAAGTTCAGCCACGTGCAAACATTCATTCTGTTATTGAAATGTTCTCAAACTCTAAGAATTCGGTCAAACCCGAACTGATTCGCACTTGGGTATTAAAAGGTATGCCCAGGCCTGAATGCCTAGCTGGGCCACACAGCAGGCTCATTTTGGGCAAAAACTTCTGAAAGTGGCAGCCAGGCACGTGCCCATCTGCAAAAGAGCTCTGGAACTCCAAGAAGCTCAGTTTGACAGTGCTCTTGCCGCACTTCCTGCAGGAGGGAAGTCGCACCTTCCTTTCTAACAGGAAAGAAGCAACAGTTACTGGAACACTGTTTCTCCCTTCCAGAGAAGACCCTGCGGTACCACCGCAGAGTGAGCGCCACCAGAGGCTGGTGTCTGTGCAGGGAGCGTGGCTCCCGAGAGTGGCAGCTTTTCAGGTAGGAGGTGAAAGGAATACGCAGTGTGAGGGTCAGGATGCAGGTATCGCTGTCAGCCCTCACTCCACAGCCCCGACTGCCTGCTCTGCTAACCTGGCTTCACGACGCCTTGCCAGACCTGGAAAGGGCAGCTGGTGTGGATTTAGGGGAGAGCAAATGGTTTCATTTGTGTTTACCTGTACACCACCACAGGGATCCTTTTCCAAGACCTAAACGAAGCCACGTTCTCTAGCTCTTTGTCGGTGATCCAGACAGGGACCAGCAGCTTCTGGGGATAACTGGAACAAAGCCTGGAAAAAAGAACGCACAAAGGCAAGATAAGGACTTGGCAGTCAAAAATCTGCCCCAAAGAAGCTGTGCAGAGAGGAGACAGGAGCAGCTCACGTTTCCCCAGACTCAGCATGCAGGACGTGGCTCTTCCTCTCCATATCTGTCTCAGTAATCTCAACGTGGGAAAAGTGACCCCAAAACTGCTGTCAGACATGAGCTGAGAGAAGACAACCTCCTTGCATCTCAGGCCTTACCTCCTGGCCCATACTAAATACCCCCGTATTTCCCAAGGTGGAACATCCTCTGGATTTAAGAATTCATGAGGCTTTAGGGGAACAGTCCTTAATTTACATGGAGTTTTGGTTTTCTTACAGCACGCACAAACCCAGAAACATACAGAGCTTCTGGTAAATGATGATCTGCCACGTTCTGCCTTGCAGAAAACAGGCATCCTGGTTACTGCAGGTACTACCCTGCCCCTGCCGCTCGCAGATCAGGTTGAGTGCTTCAGAGGCAAAGCGCTGCCTGGGTGCTGGACCAGCTGAGCTCCAGCAGCTCAGGCAGACAAAGCAAGGGACGTCAAAGAGCAGCTCTAGCTCCAGGCTATAACCCACATCATTTAGAAGGAATGTTTCAGAGCAGATGGGAAACAGGGGTGAAGCTATCCCAGCAGGTAAGCTCCAGAGGGTGGCCTGGTGTTCCCCTGGGCCCAGGCTACCCCTGCTGATGGTGACAGGCACGATACAGCGCTTGGTATTATTTAGTTTGTGATGCTAGCGAGGGGCTGCCTGCCACGTGATAAGATGGCACTTCACACAGCGTCTAGACAGCTTCCCAGGAAGCCCCAGGCAGAAGGCAAGGTCGGACTATGGGATAAAAACAACAGGGTGCAGAAGAGGAATCCAGGAAGCAAAAAATCAAAGCTGTCAGGTAAGAAGCTGAAGACATCTGTGGTAGGTTGCCTAGGCTTGGCCAGCTCTGAAATGCCTCAGATTCCATGTGTAAAATTGGTCAGGAAATTAGAGAAGCATTGAAGCGTGACTGAGAATAAAGGTATGCAGGAGAGGGTTGGCACCTATTAGGATCTGGAGGAACTTTTGGAATAGCTGAGTCCATACGAGAAGAACGGGGAAGAACCCATACGGATTTCATCGAAAGGAAAACAATCAGTTCCCTGGCACTTCGGATAAAACATTACAGGAGATGTCTTAAACGAAAAATTGTGGAGAGTCAGTAGAGGAAAGGCTCAGGAGCATATCTAAGAGTTAACACACTAAAACTCTGTACCCTTAGAAAAAAGTAAGACAGAATTCAATAAAATTCAGATAGGAAATAGGACAGCCTCAAGAAGTTAAGCCAAATTTAAGCAGGGCCCATAAAACCAGGCAATGAGGTCAAGACAAGCAGACCTGTGCTTCTAGGCTAAAATTCTAGAAGCAGAGGAACTGAACAGCCAGGATAAATGAGTATGTTGGCTTAGCAGCATCTTACAAACTCAATACAAGGAAAATTATTAGCAGTACCTTAAACTTCAGAGCACAAGCTTTGCAGAAAGACCGGAGCTAGTGAGCAAAGGGAGGTATGTTCCAGGAAAACGGGAAGGTAAAAGCGTGAGGCTAAGAGTTACCAGCATTGATGAGCGATGCAGAACGGGCATGGACTAACATCCCACGCCTAAAGAGAAACAGGGTAACACTGAGGCTACGCTACCGATCACCGGAGCGACTGTTAATGACATCCACGGGAGAGATTCAGGAAGGCTGCGAGGGCAGAAATTCCAACAGGAGACTTGTGCTGCTTCCACATCAAACACTTAAAGTGACAGGATAATGCACGAGACACAGGAGGCATTTTTATACCTGGTCAGCTGCCTCTTGGTGCTACCAGGCAGAGAATACAGAGGCACCTAGCTCTTCCTTTGGTCCTAAGCTGCTCCCAAACAGCGTAACCAAAGTCACCTCGTTACAGTATTCACCACAGTACAACTCAACAATACTGTTAGAGGGGACAAGCCTCCCACAAGAAGAAACCACCAGTTTCAGAAAAGGTGGGGTGAGGAGGAGCTTGCAGACAAGATAATGGTTATTTAAACGTGCTGTTCAGTGGTGATATAAAAGGGATCAAGAAGATCAGAAAGAGCTGGCAGAGCTAAACAGTGAACAAAAGAGGATTTGGGAAATAAAAGGACATCATTCAAGGACATGAGAAACCAAATGTGCACCTGAATTAAAGAAAAAAAAAAAAAGAGGAAAAATGAGAGACATTTTGAGAAATGTTAAAAGATTACAACTCTGAAGACCTTTTTCAAACGTCTTGGAGGTACCAGCCTGCTACCGAAACGGAAGGTCTAACGGATCAGGAGGATGACAGCAGGAAATCAAAACTAATCACCCTGGTGTTCAGCGGAAGAGGCCAGAGGGGTTGCCAGACCTAACCCTGTTTTACAAGGGACAAGGCACAGGAAGAGATTAAGGCGGACACTTCAGCAGGGGAAGTTCCAGAAGAACCTGCTAGGAACGAGGGGTAACCAATCACCAGCATAACGCTCAAGATTTCTGCAGCAACCCCAGCGTGCACCCTGTGTGACGGACTAACTGAGACGTGTAAGCCACTGCTTGCATCTGGGTACCAGAGGGAGGGAAGGTGGCAAACGCCATCAATCCTGTAAAAAGGCCTCTGGGGCAAACCACGGGAGTCTGACTCCTGTACAAAGCGACTGGCGGTCACAGCCGGTGCCAGGGTAAATACGGTGACTTGAGGAGGGTCAACACAGCTTCGGTGGAGGGAGGTTGCAGCTCACACGTGTCGTCTGCTGGACACATTGCTGAACAGGCAGATACAGCTCGCCTGGCTGAGAGTCTGTTTGGATTTTCAGAAGGGTTTTATCCGAAATGTGTGTGTTGGGTTTTTTTTTTTTAATAGCAGGCTCACCGAAGACTTGAAGGAAGCTCCTCTTAACCAAACACTAACTCTTGAGGAGATAGAAAGTAGTATAGAACTTGAAATGGTCATTTTTCACAACAAAGGGAGTCTTAAGGGGAACCGTGCTTGTCCCCACGTTGTGCAACATGCTCAACCAACAGCCAAGCAACGTGGGTCACGGCGTGGCTCGAGACACCCCTGGGACCACACTGACCCAGAACACAGGACGAACCGGGAGGTTCAGTCCCAAAAAAGGTGGCTGTAACAATACAAACGCGTGAATCTGCACAAGCCACGCCTACAGACAAGGGTCGACAAAGCCTCTTCCTACCACGGAGGTGACAGCAAGAGATCTTCCTCGCTGAATGCACAAACACACCTTACCGCTAGCGGTCCTTGGAGACTGTCTACTCGTTCACGTGGCAAATAACGAGCAAGAACACTAATTATCATCTTCCAATGAAAGCGAAGGAATAGTATTACAATTTGTAGAGAACTGTAACAAAATAAGAATCAAGAGCACTCACAGAAACAAGGAGGAAACACCAGCTGAGACAGCATCAGCACTGAGGGAAAGGTGAATGGGTTTTCTTCCCTTTGGAAGGAACTACACATGCACCAAACCCACCGGCGTTAAGGCTGATAGGACACAACCCCTCCTGGGCAGCGTGGGTGCATCCCGTGGGGAATGCCAGGACGTGCCCACTTCTCTGGGCATGGAGATCGGTGAAGATGCGAGTGCCATGCGGAGATCACGCAATAGTTGCATTATCATCGCATGCTGAAATAGTGGACTTTATCAGGACCAAAGGTGTGGTTATGATATGCTTGTGTTGCTCCAGTTTTACGATGGCTGTCGCCAGGAAGAAGGTAATCGTTTCCAGAGAAGGACACCTCGGAGCAGTCCTGAAAGAGCCATTACCTTGGAGTATCCTGTCTCTAGCCAACACTGGCAAATAAAAGATAACAGGACTATGCACAGTTAAAAAGTAACCTGATTCCTCTGAGCAGAGGCAGGTGGTAGTGATCAAAAGCCAAGGCAGGATTTAAGAACACGCTCCCCGAAGCAACAAGAGAACCAGTTTCCAAGTTGCACAAATTACACCACTTTGGAGATCTCAGGACATCTGCAGGAAGCTGCGACCTGCCAGGATCCCCATCTGAGTTCCTGAGGTAGGAACTCAGCAGATGGAGGGAAGCAAAGACAGGCCTGCATCCAGCTTGCTGAGGTTTGTTTCAAGTTTTTTCTTCCCTGGTCCGGTTGGAAATAAAACATTTGTCTTTAGAGAAGTTGGCTACTTGCTGTGTTACTGGCCAGGAGGTGAAGCACAGGTGGTCAATCTAAATAAGGGAACCACATCCCAAAACTCTAGCAGGGGAGAAAGCCTGACTGCTCTCTAGGACATGCAGAGACTCTGCCTAGGGCAGGGACCTGCAGGCTGTGCACTCCGAGACCGAGCAGTTCAGGAACACAATTTTTATTTGACGTGTTTGGAGAAACTGCATAAATGCCGAAGTCCTACTAACAGTCCAAAAGCAACGATGTGGTCAGTACGGCCAAGCAGAAACCGCAAGTCAAACCCCAAAACTAGTGCTTACTCCCTGGATGCTTAACAAAGGGAGAAAAAAACAGGCAGCAAACTGCAAAACTCCACCATGATTTCCCAGGCCAGCGTGCCCGAAGCTTCACATGGTCTCCACAAGAAACGGGTGTCCTGGAACCGTTTGATAGCAGGTGATGGGGTCGCCTTTACTGGCTGAGACCTTACAGCCGCTGCCCCTTGTGCGGTCATCTGCCACTGTTGGGAGAGCTTCACCCCACCAGCTTTGTAGCTGCCCTTCTCGCAGCTGCAGGCTGGAAGCAGATCACCCTTTGGCCCCTTCTGCACCAGACTGAACAAGCCATGCTCATTCCCCAGGCTTCGGAGCATCCCAACAGCCTTCCACTGGCTCGCTCCCGTTTCTCAACGGAGCCGAATTTCACCCAACTTTACGAAAACCTTGTATTTTTCTTTTCAAGCAGCGCAAGTGTTTTAGAGAGAAGGATGGACCAGAAAAGCAACCCTATGATGGACAGTTCTTCCAAGACTCTGGAATGTCTTCAAGGATGAACTATGGCTGCCACATTACAAACTACCCGCATCGGGATTTACAGCTGCTGCTAGCTCTGATGTTTGGGCTGTATTCCTTCTTTAATTCTATGATGTGAAAGGCAGAAAGGAAGGGAATCTGGCCCATATGCTGATCTGCCTGAGGGTTATCAAGGCCTGGAAGGAGGGCGAGCTGGAGGCTGACTCATCCACTGCTCTGCATGGGGACTGCAAAGGGAGGGAGGTAAGGGGAGAGGAGAGAGCCTGGCAGCAAAACACTCACTTGTAATTGTTGTTGATGTCAGAGACACGCCAGACGTTCTGCAAGTCAAAGCCCATCCGCACCAGCTCCATCTCAAATCGGTACCTCACGTGGTCTCCTGGAAGAGCAGAGCACAGGGTATTCACCAGCTAAGCAGAACTGACCACACGTAAACATGGTCACGGCAGCTCCGCATCAACGATCACAGCCTGGAGAGAAGCTGCAGGACAGCTGGGCAGCGGGGATCTCGCTCCAGAAACCAAAAAGATTTATCCCTCACGGGGATGGTTCTGCATATTCAGTCAAGTTGGATCACCTCTCGGTCTCAGGGCACAGAGGAGCAAGGAAATAGCCTTCCCACAGCAACGTGGAGTGGGAATGGGGTTAATTTAATCCACTTTTGCCCTCTGACAGAGATGGCTTCCAACGTGGATGTCAGGAGCGCCGTGGCAGAGGAGTACCGCGCGCCCACCCCAGGCAGTTCCTTCTTCCAGACTGCTCCCTCAGAGCCTGACTCAGCGTTTGCTCTATGTTTTAGCCTCCCCTTACAAATCCTGGATGTCTTTGTTGCTCAAGTGTCAAGTGTTGTTAATAAATAAATACTGCAAAGCTTTTCTCTTCATCCATATCCTGCGGCAACAATTTCCACGGGTTAAGTTTATTTCTACTAGAGAATAATACTTTCTCTAGAGGAAAGACAGCAAACATCTCCTAATCACTGGTGTACATGTAGTTCACCTTTTTTCTATCAGCTTCTTTCTGGTATCTCTTTCAGCAACACTATTCAACCCCATCCCTCCATCCCAACTTGTGTGTGGACATTCACTCAGGCTACTGCTTCTTTCCTCTAATATCAGCACATTTTTAAGTTTAAAGCCAGGTGTGTCACGCATTTTAATCCCCTTTTATCCCTGCTGAAGCCGCTTAAAGACAAAGCAACTGCAAGTGTTCCCAGAGAAGGGAAACTCCCAGTCCACACGAGGGCACCACCACAGCTCCCGTTACGGTTTCAAAGATTCTAATTGAGCCTGTGTAAGGATGAGCCAGACATCTCCGCAGCCCTGACCACGGGAATGGATGAGCCAGACATCTCCACAGCCCTGACCACAGGAATGTCATGGCATTTCTAGGTGTTGGAGAAGAGATGCAGGAGGATCCTATTAATTATGCTGCCTCAAAGCTGATGACATTTACCATCCAGGGACTGCTTGAGCCCTCTAGCATCATGATGACAGTACTAAAGTAAGGGATCTTTTCTTCATTCCCAAGGAGAAAGGGAAAAGCTGTTTATATATTGCTGGCTCAAAGTGATCCTTATTGTGCTTATTACTATTATTCCTTTTGCTGTGCTTGTTACCCAGATGCATCTGGCCATCAGCTGGATCTCTAGACCAGATACACGATGCCCCTCAGCAACTCGGGCTACAGCAGAGCTTAAGACACAGCCAGACATCAGTTATGAGCAACAGTTCAAAATGCACTGCAGTGATTCTGAATGGAAGAGCAGGAGGGGGACAGGCCAGGAGCTTACCTGGACGGCAGAGATGCGCATGCTGATCCTCCTCATCAACGCAGACTCCTAAGCACCACGCATGGTAGGCAAAAGCAAAGAGGTCCTCAGGCTTAGCAGGGCGGGCAATGGCTCGAGTCAGCCTCTTCAGCCACTCCTGGCACTGCTTAAAGGTGGAAAAATGGCACCTGCAAACCCAAATGCATGTCATCCTGAGGGGCTATGTCCATCCAGCCAAGATGTAGAGACAGAGAGCTCTGCTCCACTTAACCAGGAACAAAGTACCGAGCCTCAGTAACCTTGGCCATGAACAGCTCGATTCCAATGGCAGCACAGAGGGAGACACCAGAGCTGATCATGGCAACCGGCCTGCAGCAGCATCTACAACATAGCAATAAAACGGGTACCTGATCACTTTGGAGTCCTTGCAGACAATGTGAAGCTGGAACATATCCCGACACTCTACACTTTCCATCATCCTCAAAGGCACCTGCGAGGGACGGATGTAGGGTGTGACAAAACATACCACAGAACAGCCAGCAGCCTTGCCCGTAGGCCCATCAGCACAGTCATGGCTCTATCAACAATCATGACATTGGAGTTCAAACTACAAATCCATTCTGAGGTTTACGAAGCTTTGTGACCCAGCGTAAAGCCTCCTTCAACAACTGCTATTCTGATTTCTACTCTCTCCCTGGGTAGTCTCCCACCTGGTGCCAGACACGGACTCAAAGCACATCCAGACAAGCACTGGGCTGAGCCAAAAGGAAGCTGCAATAAAAGATGGCAAGTCAAGACAGTGGGAGAAAGCCTCAGGCTCCCACTGCCTGACTCGCAGTTGCTGGTCTCCAGGTAGGAGAAGTCTGGCCTGCAAGAGACCCTAACAGTCTTAAAACTGCCATGTTTAATATTTGAGTTTAAAGAGAATGGCAAAGACCAGACCTAATTATTATCCATAACAGTCTATGTTAGTCTACCCCTAAACTGCCATGTTTAATATTTGAGTTTAAAGAGAATGGCAAGACCAGACCTAATTATTATCCAAAGGAAAAGCCCATCCACACACCAAAACACAGCAGGAAAACAGCAACTGCAGGACCCGCAGTAGCTAGACAGCATCAGGCTTGGCATCCTTTAAGAGGCACAGCTCCCACAGATGGCAGAAATGGCTTATCACCCCTCCTGCCCCCCACAAAATACTGCGAGAGGCTATGGTTCAGGTAGCAGGAAGGGGCAGATCCAGACTCACGTTGATCACAGAATCCTTGAACTTGATATGAAGCCGGTAGTTGGAGATGGCGATCACAGCATCGTTTGCATGGCCGAGATACTCCACTCCCTCGCCCTGCAACACAGTGAATGGGACCTGGAAGGGAGACATCACTAATTCAAGACACACGCAGAGTACTTTGCGCACCATAAATGCCAAGAGCCACTCTTCCTCCTGCCTCTGCAGTGCATCTCCTGCGGGAAAGCATTCACAGCAACGTGCTCTTCCTCCTCTGAGAGCAGACAGCAGCGTGAAAGAGCACTGGTACCCGCTGCCCAGCCCCACGACATGGAGCTTCTTCCAAGGAAGCCTCAGGAGCCACTGAGCACCTCCTGATGGATAGTTACTTGCAGAGAAGAGGTGTGACCACAGATGCTGTGTGCACCAAGCGTGGGTGTCTGGCCAAGAGGGTGTTGCATGGGGGCAGAGGGACATACAGTCCCTGCTTTTTGGAGGGGGTGAAGGCAGCCCTGGTGCAAGTGGCACGATAAAAGACACACTGGGTCGCTGCTCAGACACGAGGTGGGGGGTGCTCTGCACATCTCCAGGCAGAGCTTGGTACCATCAGGGTGCTCTCCCCCAAGGCAGGGCGTCACATATGTGACGCTGCTGCGTCATTTAAATGAAGGGGGGCCTTAGCAGCACTACGAGACCCACTGGTACCAATCCACGTAAGTGAACAAATCAAAGTTTTTCTCAACTTTTGCTAACAAGACTCCAAGGGAATCTCTGTATATGGTTATTTGTATGACTGACAAAACATCATTAAACTTACCTGTACTACAATATTTTTTTTCAAATCCAGATAATCAAGTTTTTCTCTATCAGCCCTGACATGCCATGGCTATTTTTAAACAGGGAATCTTGGCAGATAGCCAAGTTTGACTTTTCTTGTATTAAAAAAAAAAAAGTGGTAGAACAGCTTAAAATTCACCAGGCCTCTTTTTGCTAAGCTAAGTAAACTCCTCCTTGTTCCCTGGATGCCACCGACACCAGGTGATCTTGGTAACCAATTATGCACAAAAAAGGTCACAAAGATTTATCTTTTCAGCCAGAGCCCTTTACCTGCCAGACAGAGCATCTGGTGAAACAATGCATTACACTAATTAGTGAAAGTCAGACCACCTTGTCTTTATTTCTGAGTTGTTTCTGAGGCTTGGGTATACGCTGCCTTAAAAATGGAATTTCCTGGATTTCAAGACTTCATGTGCAAGTGACAATTGTATTAAAAACTTCTCCCTTCTTAAGTTACTTGTACAAAAATAACTACCTTAGGCTGGCATTTGTCTCAATACTCTCTAAAAACGTTCATTGTTTGACATTAAGAGAATATACTCTATTTCTGCAGATTATTTCTGCACACTTGCCAGAGCTGTTTTTAGTTGGCATGTGTTTCTTCTGCTTACGTGGCTCTTTCACACAGCAACAGAAGGGAGACAGATTAGAAAGGGGACCGTAAACCTGCAAGAACTGACAGAGGGAAATCCTAGAATAAACTGACAGGTGCCTGAATACAGCTTGTTCTCAAGCCGAAGGCGCCCTTTGAGGCTTCACTTTACATTAAGAGAATAACAATTTACTGAAGGCAAATTACCCTTTGGGAGGGGTGAACTTTAGGGTCCTCCACGCAGAAGACTAAAGCAGATCCTGCTCTTTCTCCAGGCAGTCTCAGCTCAGTTGTCTCAGGGGCTTCACCTCCTGAAGGCCGCAGACCTGCAGCCCTGACCCCGTGCAACACCTCAGCCCGTGTGTGTTCCTTCAGGTCAGCGGCACATTTCAGTCCTGCCTGTTATCGGCACCGCTTACCAAGACAATGCCGACCACAGAGCAAACTCAAGTGTTGCAGCAGCAAGAACATACGTGAGCCTGGCTCCAGCCAGAGGAGGAGGCTGACGAGCACTGGGACAAGGCAGCAGAGGGCTGCGTTAAAGGAAGCAACACACACCAGGAGCTTTGACTCCCACGGTTCAGAACACTGCCCTTGCTGCACAGCAGCAACAGTCCCTGGGGCTCTTGGAGGGCCTTTTGCAGCAGGAGGCTGGCACAATAGGGAGGTTTCTCTTTCCAACAGCTCTGCAGCAGGAAAATGCCAAGAGCAACGTGTATTAGGGCCAGATCAGGCATTGCAATTGCATGCTGCGGCTCCACAGAGCACAGCCTAGCCCCGATACTCGACCTGTCCCCGACAGCCTCTGCCTGATGCAGAGCTACACAGGCAGCGTCACAGCTTCTCACTGTCAGCACAGGCAGAGGACAGGGAATACCCAGGACGGCTCTGTATTGCATCATGCTCCAGCCGTATCTCCAAGCGGCAGATGCGATGCCATACAAATTGCAGCATCTTGGCAGGGCTGGGAAGCAGGGCCAGGGCGTAAGAACTGCCGTCAGCAGCCTCCATGCACTCGGAAGGACCCACCAGTCCAAATGTGACCTACAGCACCGGCCAGCCCGCGGCCTCGTCCTAGACTGGAGAACTGCTCTCAGGTTTCACACGACCAGAGTCGAGCCTGACGCATCCCAAAGTGGATGGTTTCGGTTTTCTTACTTCCTTACCTGCAGTGACTCTTCCTCCTTCACAAGCTCTTTCGGGGGGAACAAGTCCTTAGCCTGGATATACTCCAAACTGGGAGGGCCTTCCTCACCCTGCATTGCAAAGAAAACACACGTTGAGACAGGCCCCAGCTGGTGCAGGTTATGAAAAGGCAAAAAACCAAAGCTGCTGATACTCTCAGCACCCCAATATCTTGGGGATACCCTGGACCTGTGTGTGGAAGTGCCTGTTCTGCCTCTGGAACATGCCCTCTGCATTGCAGAACCCCAGCAGTTCCTCTGACTGTTGCAGAATACCCACAGCACAATGAAAGCCCGAAGCAGGTCTCCCAGTCCTGCCTCTTCGAACCGTGTGGTATTTGGAAAGCCAAGGAGATACACCCTGACCACACACCAGGATCCTGGACTGATGTGACAGTAATTTGTCACGTCAAACATTACCCCATCTCCTTCACTACAGCACCACAGCACAGAATTTACATTTTCACTCTTATCCCTAAGAAGCCTGGGAGGAGCCTGAAGCTTTTTGAGGGGCAAGTATGAAACATAACCCTGTAAGACCTGCATCTAAGTGCACCTGATTCACATGTGTTACTGACGGGGACAGCACCCGAGCAGGGCATTTGTCCTCAGGGCAGCTGAATGTGTCTAACCTGCTCGGATGGAAACCTTGGAAAGCCCATGGAGAAACCCAGAGAAGTGGTCTGAGAGGACGCACAGCATCTGGACATGCCACCCTTGGAAATCAGAGTGCCTCAGTCTGGGACATGTGAGCGTTCAGACTCTCATGAAATCTCGGTGCCCATTTTCACCAACCCTCACCCCACACTCTGCCAAACCACTGACTCGCTCCATGAACAACCAGCATCCAGATGCTCAGCAGACGACGTTCTCCTGCTGGGAGCCCAGGACAGTGTTGATTCCACAGTTATTCACTGTGGGATGTTTTTTTCAGTATGTCTCTTGCTCTCTAACTAGACTCCAGCATTCGTGAGGAAATACTCTGTTCTGTAAGCATTAAATAATATTTTAAAATGAAATGTCTTTCAGGGTAAGTCACCCAAGCTAGAACCCCAAATTTCAATCTGAACTAACTAGAACCCAACCCTTTTGCCTCGGTTATATTTAAAATGATGTTGAATCCCGTTACGTTGCTGACAGCCACTCTAGCCTTGGCACCCACAGGTACCTAAAACCCTCCCCAGGCTTCAGACCGGGGCAGCGAGACCCCACGCAGCCTGTCACCTCCCTGGCTGCAGAGATACCTGTGCACATGCCACATAAAACTCAGCATCAACCCCAGCTAGAGACAAAGATACTGCCCCTCCTCACCCTGTCCCTGTGCAAGGCTGGGACACAGGGCACAGCACCTGCCCCAACAGCCGCCGGGGGCTTGGGGACCTCTCCTGCCAGCGGCTCGCTCAACACCGAAGGACTAGCCTAGGAGAGCACAAAGGAAAGGCGCATGCCGGTGTGGCAGCCGGGGAGCAGAGACACTCTCCTCTCCCATCACCACCTTGCAGCTTGCAAAGAAATCCCAGTGAGCAGCCGGAACTGGAACAGGGCAGCCCAAGCCCTCCACCAGCCCCGGGTGTCCTTGAGTTCCTCCCCGCCTGCAGCACGGGATGGGCGGAAGGCCGAGCATCTCCTCCTACCACAGCCCCGTCCCAGGGTACCAGCAGGGCAGGAAGCTCAGGACGCTGCTCTCTTCACAAGCCAGCCACCTCCTGAAGTCCTCCGAGCCCATTTGGCCACAAGTTCTTTGGGGGAGGGAGGGGGGCTTTCTGCAGGAAGGGGCATTCCTCTGAACAAGGAAACTCCTTTCCCCGAAGGTATCAGAGACACAGAGCCCAGGACCCCCTCCCACGACAACGCCCTCCTGGCAGCGTCAGCGTGAGGGGGGTCTCGCACAGCCCTGCCTT